CTATCTTCAACTATTTAGGCTTCCTTCCAGAATTTCCTACCTAAGTGCCTGTTTTTTGTGCTTCCTTCTATCGACCGTTAATATTACTTTTTCATTGTTATACAACACCTATGTAACAGGTGACGTCGAAGTTGATAAGATAAGTACGGTTTTGCACAGTGTAAGTCGCGGACCACGCATCAGGTGTATATCCTTGAAACTCCTTTTTACCAAATTAGTTCAAAGTCGAATATTAACCAGAATATATCTATCTAATCAGATCGAAACAAGAAAACTATAAATATTGCAAATAGCTCAGTATATGACGGTTTTTAGGTCCGAATTCTAGACACATGAACCAATCGATTCATGTTGATTACCGTAGATATAATAATAACCGAGCTATCACTATAAAAATGCTTATTTTTCGGAAAGTAAAATCGAACCTTTTACCGTAAAATAATGGCGAAAGAACTAATTTTTCGAAGAAAATGAACATAACCTTTTTTAAAGTGCTTGGAAAAATCTTTAAAATACTTTTTGAAAAAATTTCGTGGCTCAAAAACTCGCGTAGTTATACAATAAAATCTATGGCTGAACCATAAAAAAAAGAAACTAAGCGTAATCCATGTACTGTTGACTTTATTTAGGTACTAATAATAGGCTCTGCAAGTTTAATCGGTTTAGAATGCCTAAATTTAAAAAAAAGTTTGAAATAATGAAAACAAAATTTTTATAATTTTTTAAAAAATTTCCTTTTTTCGAAATAACTCAAAAACTAAACAAGATACGTGAAAAATGCAAGAGTTCAAAATTAAAGTTCTTTTTTTATAATATTATTGATTTCTTTCAATTTTTCTGTAGAACAAAAATTAACTGAGATATTACGTTTTTTAGTTTGCATTTGCTTGTAAGGACCACCTTCTTTGAGCTCTTAATATCTAAAAATCTCGAAAACGAAGAGTTCAAGACCCTTCAACTATAAAGGTTGTTTTGTAGTTCTTGCAATTCCCTGCAAATTACTTTTGGAGCGATGAAAAATATTAAAAATTAAAAAAGTTATCGTGAAAAACGAATTGTATTATGCAGTGAAATTTGTCGGATCGCGTAAATGGCTTACCTAATAGTTTAATAGAGTTTTAAGTAATCTCGTTGAATTTAGTAATGTATCGTTGAGTGTTTTGATGCAGGTAAAAATTCTACAATTCCTCATTAAGGGTTGTTTTTAAGGATTGAAACGTTGCAATGAATCATCAGTAATATTATAAACAGTGATGAGTCTTTCATTCATTATAAATGCTATGAAGATGTGAACTTTTTTTTTTGTTTTATTTTCTGCAATAAGGATGGTTTTTAAGGGTTGAAACGTTGCAATAAATCATATATTATTTCATTATTGCTCCGTCAAAACATTTCAGAGCCGCGAAAACTAATTTTGTTTTTTTCCTCATGAAGGGTGGATTCTAAGGGTTGAAATGTTGCTACAAATCAAAAATTATTATTCAAAACATAAAAGAATGCTTATTCTATTGACATAACACTTAAATCTATGATTTTTACGTTTTTTTCAAGAAGGAGTAGTTACCAATATGCACACATTATGGATATGTAACTTTTATAAAGGAGGGTGAAATGAGCTTACTCACCAATTTTCATCAAGAATTCGGAGGTAATATCCTATTTCTACCGTTGTATATTGGACTAAACATACTAGTCAAATCAAACGGTTCTGTACAAGAAAATATACATGCATATTTTCTCTGTGAAAAAGTTTCACAGAGACAAAATTTCCTTAAAAGAATTAGAATTTTAATAGACGCTACCATTTGGAAGATACTGTCTTCCATGTTTTACCACATGGTCCGTGAATGAAATGAAACCTCCTCCAGGAAGACCCGTTATATGTTGCTATGTCCGTAAATTTTCCAATAGAGTAGTGATTACTCACACCATCACAGGGTTTTGTTCATAAGCAACAAATTCAATACATTTCAGATACCTATTTTTTGTTTTATGGTGAACTTATTAATATTTCTTGGAATGGACAACCGTTTTATTTTCGTCACGTTCTCATAAATCATCTAAATATTTGGACAGCACGTTCTCTCTCGAGTGCAAAGAAAATTTGCATTCATCAACTATTTTCTTACCTTTCGCAAGCGCTGAATTCGTTGATGTGATGTTTTCTTTTGCAGGAAATAAACCCGCAAACGGGCACTAGATTGGATTGCCCGTGGCCCTGGACCGATAAGAGGTCCCAAGAAGATGGGTACTGCCTGCAGCAGCGTCAACAACGCTCTCCAAGATTTGTTCCTCGTGCACGAGAAACGGAGTTGGGTAATAATAATAATATCTTAAATAGTTTTCGCTTGAGCATCAACCGAATGCCTTGCGAATTAAAACAAACCTTGAAAGGACTCGTGAAACTTTTATTTTGTAACAACAGTTGTCATACAAATATGAACTTAAAAACACGGATTATGCACCAAAAATAGGCTTTCAGATAACGAGAAAACATGAGAGGGGGATTCTTGCGGCACCGAATTAAAAAACTCATTAAACTGGATGAGCCCGTGCTTGCTGTTCTCTTAACGGTTTCTTAATTAGCTTTCGGCCAAGTATTCAATCTGGCCTCAATGAAAAAATTGTTAATTTAAAACTTGTTTTGTTAAGTTCACTGTATCACCCCGAGCTGAAAGTCCCTAGGTGATATATGTTGTAATTTATAAATGACTTCTGTGGACGTCATTCCTTTTCAGTTACTTACTATTGGCTGGTTGCGAAACCACAAAGGATGTGTGTTTGCCTGGGTGACGCTTGTGTGGGCGACCCTTGGTTGTTAAAATACAATAAATTCGATACTTCTTAAACTGGCGAATATGAGCAATGACATACAGAAACGTAAATCTTATACCCACTTTACACAACTCTTTCATAGCGACACGTTCTTTACGGGTTTAACATTCTTAAAATTCATATTAGAAATTAATGAAAAAATTAACTTCTGAAAATGCAAGGTGTAAATGTTTTATGTTAAAGTAATAAAAAAGAAGAAAAGTGAACATATTTTTTATGAGATGTACCTAAGAGCTCTACGTTCTTCTAAAATTGGAGCATAGTTTTTAACCAATTTCTCAAGAATAGTTTAAGATACAAACTATGCTAAAAAGGAGATGATATAGTTTCATCATAGTACCTAGTTCCCTCATAAAATTTTAATTAAACTTAAAGTGACATTGAAATTTATATGGAGTTTTGTTCTATCAAATAGAAGAGCATGGATATTTCTTGTTTTCCAGACTAAAACTTTTGTGTCTCTTGACCACCATTGTACTTACTTAACATAACGTAAAAAAACACTAATTTTGAATTTTCGGAGAAACATCGAGGTTAGAGGTAAATTTTACTAATGGCATCGCATTCAGCGCCTCAAAATACTACGAAAATGTTAATTTCATGATGAAAGGATCAAATTCGTTTAAAATTCAGGTAATTATTTTCTCCAACACTTGTATATAATGGTACTATAATTTCTTTGGTTTTAAAGGAATAATGTGAGTTATAATTCATAAGTCACTAGTGAGTTATGAAACCCTTGGTTACAGACAATTTAGATTGAAACTCGCAACCTTTGTAATATTTAAAAATACATTCATTTCGTTACTTTTTCTGACAACTTGAAATTTTAAGTTACTTTTAATTATTATTAAAACTAAATTTTATGAAAATGTTGGATAAAATTTCGTATAGCACTCGTGTGTTACGTCATATAAGTAACTTGGGAAACATTTCCCAGAGTGACTTATATACAGGGTGTCACATAATACTTTAGCAGTAGATCTACGTTCAAAAATAAGATTATTATTTCCTATAAACAAGGCTTCCGAAGGGAGCTAAGCTCCTCTAAATGGGGCTTCAGGAGATCACATTTTTCCAAATATTTCCAAAACCAGTTAATGTATCATTATGAATTTTGGTATGTTGGACATTCAATAAATGTTCTAACGAACTACATGAAAACTGTTTAGAAATTTTAGTCAGGGGTGTCTCAGGCAGGGGGGCTCACGGGTAAAATGCGCCCCCAATTTTTTGCAGGTTAATATTTTCAAATTTAAACATTAAACAATGATAGATATGAATTTCTCACAAAAAAAAAATGTACTCGCAGAGGTCCTATTGAGTGGCCACCGAGGTCACCGGATTTAACCCCTTTAGATTTCTTCTTATGAGATTATTTCAATTTTAAGTTTATGTGAATAGACCAAATAATTTTGATGACCTGAAACAGAGAATACGCCAGGAAATAAGACTTATTCCAGCAGAGGTACTTGAAAACGTTCAACGGGAAACAATCCTTCGACTACAAAATTGTATTGAAGTAAACGGACAAAACATTGAATATTTATTAAAAATTAATTGTTATTTAAATAATATTTTATGGTTAAACATTTTTTTTTCCATTTATCACATTTCAAACGTCATTATTGCGAAAACCGCTAATTTTAGAGATATGTATGTTATTCAAAAAAAGTTTAGAATTTACCGCATAATTCAAGAATGGCATAATATACAGGGTGTACAATTAAAATAATCAATTATGACTGCATACAATACTTCTTTTTGTATACAATTTTCTTATGTCAAAAAATCCCTAACTAAAAATACTAAGCGACGTGTCCGCGCGTTTTGCCACAAAATAATTAGGTACCTGAATTTTAAAGCAATTTGTTCCTTTCATCATGAACGCATGATCATGTATTTGGACAAAATTTAGCAAAAAAACAGTTTTAGCCCATATTTGAACCAGTTCTCACCCAAATAGTAGATTTTCTGAGAAATATCGAGATCATGGGTTCAAAATTCTACGAAAAAATTAGTTTTGACCCATATTTGGGCGTTTTCATCCAAAAATTTAACTTTTCATTGACAAGTCAAGAATTTTTAGGATCGCGTTCAGCGCATCAAATTCCTTCGGAATTGGTATGCGTCTCTCTTGGGTTTTGACTTTTTTTATGTGCCTGCGTATTNAACGTCATTACTACGAAAATCGCTAATTTTAGAGATATACCTGTAGTATGTTATATAAAAAAAGTTTAAAAAAATTTACCGTATAATTCAAAAATGGCATAATATACAGGGTGTTCAATTAAAATAATCAATTATGACCAATTATGATCAAAAATCCCTAACTAAAAATACTAATCGACGAGTCCGAGCGTTTTGCTACAAAATAATTACCTGAATTTTAAAGGAATTTGATCCTTTCATCATGAACGCATGATCATGTATTTGGACAAAATTTAGGAAAAAACAGTTTTAGCCCATATTTGAACCAGTTCTCACCCAAATAGTGGATTTTCTGAGAAATATCGAGGTCATGGGTAAATTTTACTAATTTCATCGTGTTATCGCTTCAAAATTCTACGAAAAAAATTAGTTTTGGCCCATATTTGGGCGTTTTCATCCAAAAATTTAACTTTTCATTGACAAGTCAAGAATTTTTAGGATCGCGTTCAGCGCATCAAATTCCTTCGGAATTGATATGCGTCTCTCTTGGGTTTTGACTTTTTTTATGTGCCTGCGTATTTATCCAAGTATTACAAAATTCTGTTTTACCGCAGATATGTTCGAGAACCAGATCATCCGCATCCTCAACAAGGTCCACGCCAGCATTGACCGGAACGAACAAAGACTAACGGAGCAGGACAGAAGGGATCTTACCGAGCTGGAATGGAAGCAGACGTCCATCGTCCTCGACCGGCTCCTGCTCGGCATCTTCCTCTTGATCACCATCATCAGCACCACCACAATACTCTGCCGCAGTCCGCAGGATCAAACCCCCTAGTTGGCCTGAGTTGTGCGTACGGGACCATTGACGATATAATTTATTAGTGTCCGATTCAAACGGTTGGTGTTCGTAACGATTAGTAAAAAAATCACATCGAAGAAGGGAATTGCATGTTTGTGTTTGAGGACGTAAACCGCTGTCGTGTTTTGTTTTATTAAAAGTGTCAATTTTCCTTTAATGTAACGAAAGGAAAATAATGTAAAACAGTTAAATTTAAGAATTGAAGGCGTACCAAAAATTATAAAAAAATAAATAAATGTTTGTATTAGAAACTTTAGGTTTACAGGATGTTTTTGAAATGTACAGGGTGTCTCTCGACGAAGTACGCAACCAGAACAGAAACATTTCTCGGGTTTTAAGGTATAAGCTTTAAAATTCTGAAATGTTTTAATATTTTAAGGAAGAGTAACTAAATTTGATACATAAACACCTATGTTTACGCCTTTTTCAGATGTATTTCAGAAAATTTTAACACTTTTTCATAATATAATTGCATAAGCTCGGTGGTTCCGTGGCTTGTAATCATTTATGAAGACTGACTAACCCCTTCATATCTACGGCACTGGTAGTTGAAATGGAGAATGGTATTATAAATACTAGATATTTATAGTATTTATAATATGCAGGTTTTACTGTAGGTATCAAATTTTGTGAAGCTATGCGTTCTTTAAACATTAAAATAAATACATTTTTTTCAAAAATGTATCTCGAAAACAGTACATTTCTGGACCAATTTTTTTATCTTTAATAACTTTTCCTGCTAATTTTTACCTAAAGAATGTTCTCTTGGAATTTGTATACCTCTTCGATAGACACCTACAATAGCTACAGTTAAATTTGAAGTGAAGTGAGACTATTTTAATTTAATGAAAAAACAACATTAAATTTTTAAATATGTTACATGAAAAAGATTTTCCTTACTTTATAAAAAACTTATGCTGAAACAAAAGTCAATTCTTGAATAAAAAATATTAAAATGTCATTAATAATGTAATAGCAGTTTGACAAAAACATATAAAATTGTTTTTAGTTTGATTTGGAAGATTCATGATGAAGCATGTTTGGAAATTGTTTATACGAATGAAAAATAACTGCACACTTAAAATCAAAGGTTGTTTTATTGACAAATATTTTCTGGATTTTTTTCTAATTATTAAAAAACGTTCTCAGAATTGGACATGACAAATTAAAATCCATTGTTTCGAGATGTCGTTGCAAAGCAAAAATTCCATTAATTCTTCTCTACTAATAGACAAATATTTATGCAAATATGTTTTCAATTGAAAAAATTAATCTGAAAAAATGAATCGTAAATAAAACTAGAACTAGAAAATAATAGTTATTCAAAAGTACTTTTTAAATGTAAAACCGAAAACTGATTAAGAGAACAAAGTTCCCTAAGCTGGTATAACTACTGTTAATACATACTTCTAATGATTTTGTTTTAATACGAAATATTGTATGTACGTAAATGTCTTATTAAGAACAAGATGAATCAAACGATAATGCGTGCAAATTATGTAATTAATAAATTCTGTTAAATATTTCTGTGTTTTATTTAGTCATTTCATCATTTTACCCTATCTCAAAAATATCCTACCCTATTTCGAAAACATCATTACCCTATCTCAAAAACATAATTATCCTACCCTATCATTTTATCATTATCATTATCATACCCTATCTCAAAAATCTTCATTAATAGATACACTTTCAGCTACACCTTCAGTTACACTTTCAGGTACGAAATTTATAATAAAAATACCTACGTCTGGTAGTGAGAAGTATTAAGAAAAATAAATACTTACCACACATAGTTGAATCTTCATGTTGTGAGAGCATTCCTCTTTCAAATTTCTAATCAATTTAAAACAAGAGAGTTATTTATAATATGAGTATAAGTCACTCCTTGTCGTTGTATCTAGCATAAACTCAAGGTTTTTATATGCTCAAAGTTTTGGATTTCTCGAGGCATTAAAACATCTATATTTTGCCTGACATTTGTGACTTTGACTTCAATGTGACAACTTTTTGTTCTACAAGTTTATAAAATCACAATTCAAGATGATGGAAGAAAGTATTAAGTACCCGCTTCCTTTCCTCAAACATTTTTAGAGCACATTCTTTTCCAGCGGATAAAAAGTCCGATGACCCCAAATGGGAGATGACCAATGACGTTATCAGGGAAGATGATACAGATTGGAAGAAGCGACGAGCAGTTCCTTTATTGGATCTGAAGAACTTAATGAATAACGGAAATAGGAGTTCCTATTTTACGCTCTATGACGAAGGGCACACTAGGATACTAGCCTCCTTGGTACCAGATGAGATCATCTATAACATCGGGGACTATTCTAAGAGGGACTTCGATGCGTGCCTACTTTTTGGAGATGTTTCTGGTAAGATTTGTGTTTGAAATGCGTAAAGACAATTGTCTTCCACTCTATGGCGCTTCTATATTTTCATATCTATTAAGCGAAATGAGAAATATATCCTCAACCAGTAAACTGGCTAAGAATTTCTGACTCTAGAGCTCTCTTTTCAATCCAAAAGTCCTCCAATCCTCTTTGTTGGCCTTGATGATTAAGCTGACTGATTGACTGAAATATATTCCACTACTTTCCTTCACGTTTTGGTATGTAAAAATAGGAGTTAACAAGATAAAGTGATGAAAGCATAGGAGTTAGTCGATACTTAGTATCCATATTTGACAGTAGATTCTTTGACTGAGTGTGGGAAACTATGGAAAGAAGAAATTTTATTTCTTTCCAGTAGGTACCTACTCAAAATAGAGAGATGATCTATTTCTTTCAATAGCTTAGTGAACGTCAAAATCCCTAGACGTGTCATTCCATTTTGCTGAATTCCACGTTTTCCAGACAAAATAGAGAAGCAAGAACGTATGTAGAAAAAAAAAACAAGAATTCAAATAAAAATATTCTCTACAATCATTTATCGACTATTTCCTTACTAGGTTTCACCGATCTTTGCGAGAAGTACAACAAATCTGGCAAAGGTGGTCCCTCACGTCTCACTCAAGTTCTTAACAATTACATTGGGGCCATGGTGCAGGAGATCATGTCCCATGGAGGAGATGTCCTGAACTTTTCCGGTGACGCCTTCATAGCTCTATGGAAGGTAACTGACCAGGTGAGCATGAGGGACGCCGTGCACGAAGCCATCGACTGTTCACTGGTGATCCAGAAGACGTATGGAACTTATCAGACTGATGTGGACGTTGTAGTCAGAGGTAAATTTCGAGAAAACCCAAAGTATTCTTCAGGGTGTTATCGTGGTCTGTTAACTGATCTGTCATTAACATTATAATACTGTTATTAAAATCAAGTGTTTTCTTAGTGAAGCTAGCCGTAGCTTCCGGTCACCTAGTATTCTCATTGCTGGGCAACAAGGAGAGTTCCCATTATATCATGACTGGCGATCCGATTGATGCCATAAAAGACGCAGAATCTAAAAGTTCAGCTGGAGAAATAGTGATAACAGCTAGAGTCGCTAGGCACTTTGCCGCCAATGAATACCTCGTAAAGGTACTTCCGGATGGACATATCAAAGTAATATCCCAAATATTAGATTATGTAAAAGTTCGACAACCATAAAAGTTATTATTTTTAGGTCCTTGGAGTTGGTCCTAACTGGAGAAATATACAACGGCAATACGACGATAAAGGTAAGAAAGTTAACAAATGGAACACACGTAAAGGCTCCAAATTTTCAGATGGTTATGGGAAATACGGCAGAGAATCAAATGATCCATCTGTGGCGTCTGATATCAGTCTTCCAAGTGCTTTTAGTATAAGAGTATCAACAGGAATCGATGAAGGGGTAGCTGCTATGTCAACTGATCAATATGCATGTAAGTCTCTTACTGGCCCATTATCCAGTCCCGAGGTAAGCACAACTATCGCTTACTTCCTCTTATTAATTAATATTAACACAATGGATTAAAAGACTTATTTTAACACTTGAATAAATGTTAAAACAGTATTTCTTTCTAGTAAGGTCAGCGGTGAATCACGCCGCCCGCATGAGACTAAAAGATGAACTTAGGCGGTTCATAATACCTCCAGTTGTAAGAGGTATCGATGCCTCGGAACCGCTGGAGTATTTGACGGAAATTCGACAGGTGGCCATTTTGTTTGTAAATTGCAAAGTGTCCGTGCTAGTAGGACCTGTGGAGGGCATTGACGTCGCAGATAATGTTTACGTCACTGTTTACGAGTAAGAAATACTTTTGAATTCATAAAAGACGCAACAGTTTCATCGTCAGTAATTAATTTGAAACTATCAGATATATTTAACCAGTAGGCTCTTAACTTTATTTTCACTGGAAATACAATAGCAACTTAAGTAGCTGAATAGTCCTAACGGCTTCGAACAGTCAGAGACTGCTAAAACAAAAGTCATGCATTAACATACCAACATATTCTTATTAGCATAGTAAAGGACCGATATGGTTGTGTCAACAAAATCAGCAATTTTGACAAGGACCTAATGTTGCTGATAATTTTCGGACTGCGAGGATTCAAACATGAGCTGGAGAGCCAGATAGCCTTGAGATGTGCCTCAGAATGCTTTGAGAAAATAAAAAACATTCGTGAAATCAATGAAGTTGCGGTTGCCGTTACAACAGGTTAAGTCAATTAAAATTATCACATGGGTAACCACAAATAAAATAAGTCTATAAGTAGAAACTACCCATTTTTTAACTCAACATCCTACTGGAACCAGAATTACACTATTCTCTAAATCACCGAGTCTCCTTTTCAGGGCGGTGTTACTGTGGGGCTTTTGGCCATACTTTAAGAAGAGAATATACCGTTATTGGTTTAGTAGTAAATAAAGCTGCCAGACTTATGATGGCTTATCCGAATAGAGTCACGTGTGACAAAGAAACTTTTCTTTACAGTAAATTAGAATCTCGCAATTTCATTTTGCAAGAATACAAACCACTGAAGGGCATTGTGAACCCAGGACCAATATATGAATTTAAGGAAGTTGAAAGGTAAAGAAAAATTTAATACATTTCTAAGATATTCCCTTTAGTATATGACTATTTAAAGAACTAACAGTAAATTTTGTATTTTCACACATAATTCAATTTATACCAGAAATGGTGTTATTTTTCCACACAATCATCCAATCTTTCAAATCATTACTCAGAATTTTGCACTTTTCCATTTATTTCAAAAAGCTATGTCTTTCGTTGTGCCTAAATGCAGAAAGGCATTGTTTGTTTAACCTTGGCAACAATTAATTTATTAAGAGTCCAAAGACATAATGCCAATAATAACAGAAAACGCTTCAAGATCTAAAATTTAATTATTCAAAATAAATAGCAGTTGCACAACAATAGTAGAACTGTTAAATGGACATTACAGACTTAGGAAGCACCTGGGTAATGTTACTCTGGTAGAATTTAGCTTGTTTAGATTCAACCAAGTGGACGTGAATACCGTAGCCCATATGTGTGTGAATGCTAGCAAGGATCTACTCTACTCATTAGAAGGCTAAAGTTGAATGAAGATCTCTAAGGATCATGGAAGCTCACAAAAATGTCACAAGGATGCAGTATCAGTTTATCTTTTCTGATATTATTCCAAAAAGAAGAATATTCTTGAATATGAAAAACATTTGCTGTAACATTTTAAATATTCTAGTCCTTTTATAATTATATTGTTGTTATCTAGGACTCACGACTTAGGATTTTCCATTAGTCCCTTTCCTTTGTTAGGAAGAGAGCAGCAACTAGATCTGTACAACAATCTCTTAAAAAGGGCCATGGACTTGTTTCGAACGGATACCGTAGACCAATTGTTCAACGTGTTAATAGTCCGAGGTAACTTTAGGCAGGGAAAAACGAGACTACTCGAGGAAATATTGTTCACTTCAGATCCCAGCATTCCCATTAACACGTTCACGTTGACTCCTGATGATCGAGATGTTAGTAACTTGATGATTTAAAAATGCAGCTTTCCAAATATTGAAACATTAAATTATAATGAAGCAAATAATTTTGAACGTAACTGAGTTTTTTGTTTTCAAAATTCTTAATTATTATAAAGTAAATCTTAATTAAAATCTTCATTCCTGACATTACCTTCATATTTTCAATACTCTACATCTCGAAACCAAGTAACTCTGAACTCCTGATTAGCCCAAAATAATTAGAAGAAAAAAAACAAACTCCAGAACTAATACATTATATTATTTTAGATTTCCTTCAGAACGATCCAACTTATGTTTCATCAGTTCATTGGCATGCCTGGAAAAACCTCCAGGTCTAGCAGAGAACGAAAAATAGCAGCTCGTCTCCAAGACAAAAACGTCGATGAGTATTTGTTTATCTTCAACAGAGTATTCGATGTGCGTTTCAAAGTAACTATGAATCTAGAGACCGACGAAAAAATACTGGAATTGTTATCCCAAATGTTTGCTTTACTATGCACCACGGTAAGTACGAGTACTATAAATATGTACAAGAACGTTGGAAGCTGCCTCCGAATCTAAAGAGCGCACTTTTAAGATTAATTTGACTCTGGTTCACTAAAGTTGATCATTACATTTACGTGTAATGTAAAGTACATATTTCATCCTACTAATGTGGTCACTGGAGCAGATGCCACATACATTATGTTGGTGTGACTTTTGTATAGCCTTGGCGACTATTTGGCAAGTAAGGAAACGTATGTATCGATATGCATCATCCACATGATGCGGCATTTGTTTAAATGTTGGCATTCTCGGTCTCTTACTTGCTAGATATTGTTAATACCCTTATTTTTTACTATTTGAAATAAGTAAAACTTTTTTTTATTTTCTTTGCGTGTTTTTAGTGTTTCTCGGCGTTTTGGATAATGGCTATTGACGACGCTGACTACACAGATGATGAATCCTGGATGCTGATTCAAATTCTGATCGATTTACGTCTGACGTTCATACTGGCCACTATGAGCACTCAAAAGGAATTGACTTCTTACACTTTGCAGGTTCTGAAGAATGAACATATAAAAATCGTCGATCTAAAACCGATAGACGTTTGGTATCACGGTGGACTGATTTGTCAAATGCTTGGCATAGAAGGCGTTCCACCTGAATTAGAGAAGTAATATCACCAGATTTATTCCATTATTTTAAACAAAATTGTCCATAAATAGATTACATAAAAGTTAATACTTTGATATTTTTATTCTGCTCATTTAATCCAAAATGCCACTATTTGTTTATTAAAATATTATGCTCCACTTGATAAAAACTTTTGTGAAACCTGTAAAGACTACATCAACTTATGACCTGTTGTAAGAGCTTCAGTAAACAAAGCTAAACAACCTTTAGTGAATTCATAATGTTATTTCAACACAACCTATGACATAATTGATTCAAAGGGCTTAGCTGTATTAGAGATAGATGTCTGTAATTTTTAATTACATATTTTGGATTAGATTTATACATTTGTTTATTAATAAATTAAAAATCTTACACACAACCGTCATTTGCAAAATCACTCTTGAAGTGGGTTTTGCAGCAACCTTCAACTATGTCTTGATAGGTAGTAAGAAAATCGTTTTGATAAGACATTATTCCAGAAATCCTTGATGAACTCATCAACTCCTCAACTGATTGGGATCATTTTTGATATTAGATTGTTTACGCATTTAAAAATATTCATTTAATGCACTATAAAATATTAGTTGATTACTTGCTATTCTGTGAGAAAGAAAAAGACCAACTCTGGAGAAGATACGCACTTTTAATAAATTCATTCTATTTCCATATATTTTTTATCAGCTCTGTGTGCTCACTTTTTCTATTTATTCTTTCAGACTGGTGCAACGCAAAAGCAACGGCAATCCAGGTTGGATTGAGAGTTTTCTAATGACCTTGGTGCAGTCTGGTGCAATCCATACTGTAGAAATAAAAAGAATCAATGCTTATAACAGAGGAATAATCATGCCTCCCCCATACATGCTGATGAGGTAAAACACTAGATAGCATAAATAGTATCTGAGTGAACCAATAAATCTGATGATCCCCTTATCGATAATATGTAAAATGTTTATATTTTAAGCCTATATTGAAGAGCTACAATATGTTGAGAAAAATAATCTTATAATTTCTTTTTAACAAAGACTTACATAGGTACTAAATTTTTTCCATGACGATATTTTTCACCTAAGACACAATCACAAGACACCATTTATAGATTTAACGTTTACTGAAACAAATTTGAAGGATCTGTTTTAAGCCGTTTTCTTGAAACTTCATTTCATTTTCTTGAAATCCGCATATTCAAATAATAGAATGGTCTTGGAATCTATTGAAGGTTATCGAAAGATGAAATCGATTTATGGGTGAATATTATGGAAGAGAATGCATTTGGAAAAAGAGACGAGGATGCCTCAAGAAGATGGAAGATATTCGTGGACAGTTGTAGGGTAAGATAATGGACACAAATTTCAATGAATTAACAACATTCATTGAGTAAGGTACATGTTTTTTTTTAATTGATGATAAATATTTTACTTCAAATTTTACTCATTTTGACTTGACCTTTTGGCACGCATTTTTTCAGTCAATTTACTTAGACAATTTCTTAACCGTTACGATAATAATAAAATTTATTTTATCTCAGTCAGACTAGGAACAAGGATCATTTTTGCAAATTTGGATGAGCAATTTTGAACAGCAACTACTAAGATACTTAAACTGATCGATCGGAAGGAAATTAAATAATATGTGTAGATAAATCGCGACGATTCATCGTTAAAGTATAGTTATAGGTTAAAGAGAATGGCTGCCCGCGTCGACCTGGGTTCAGTTACCGCCTATCAGGCAAAATTCAATTGTCAATGGATTAGTGTCATTACAGTAGATAACTTAATAAAAATGATTTTTCAAAAGATACCAAAACGGCAATACTGAAGTATATGTGTCAGAATGATATAGAATTTCACCAATCGGTACCTGATTTTGTAAAATATACTTAGTTTTTTAAATCAAATAAATACAATTCAATGCAGACCTATATATACCCTGCTAGTTTCATGACCTGGTGACAATTCGATGCGGGTAGTCATTCTCTTGAAAATATGTATGTACTTTACATGTTCAGTCCACATTAAGTACAAACGCACAATTTTAGGAAAGCTACCCAGATTTAACAATTTCAAAGACGTTTAAAGATTTCGCAAAAGACGTAGTTATCAAAACCTGCAACCTGAACGAAGATTTGAATCTGGAAGACGTTTTACCCGAACAACACTTGGATGTCGTCATTTTGCAGACCTTCGATTCCCTCACATCCTACGAACAACTCCTTTTGAAGTGCAGTTCCGTACTTGGTGATATGTTTACCAGGGATATGCTGCTATACATCATGTCATCTACAGTTAATCGACTGACGGCGCTAGGTTCGAGTTTTACATTTTCAATTCATATTCAAAATCATTTATTTGATGCAAACTGCAGCTGTACAGAAACTCTTCGAAATTCAGGTGTTAAGCTGCGCAAAGGGAAATTTTGTTGAGGGCGGTCTTAATTTCAAGGAAAGGTTAATCGACCCCAACGAAGATTTAACTGTGAAATGCGATTGCACTGGATTGGTAATAGAAGGTCAGTCAGTGGCATCAAAATATATTAAAAAAAAAATAAATTTATGGAAAAGTCAGTAAATCTGCAGCAAATAATTCTGGCAACCTTATGAAAGTTATACAGGTGGATTATGAAACAAAGGCTAGAGATTCACTTGATCTAAGTAAATCGATTTAGACAAACTCATCTGCAGGGGTCACATTTGACCCGGAACAACCCTGTCAATTATAGTCTGTTTAGAAATGAAATAGAGTAATAAAAGCTTATTATGTGTGCAAATCGTAAATAAATGTAGTACTGGTGCTTATATTCAATATTTTTATATTATGTATTATCGGTATAGATGAGGTGTACTTTTAAAAAAACTTTGTGTGACCGGGTTGTACTAAATTGTAGCAGGTAGCTAAAATTTAATCCCCGACAATCCGTCTTTGTCTATGCCGCTTCAATTTCTCGGTCCATTTCTCTTATAAGTAAACAATATAAAAACAGCATTTCAAAACATGAGGCTACTTTAAGCATCATAACCGGGTTAAGAGGGTTTTTAGTAATTCAAATAAAATTATTCAATATTATTACCAAAATATTTAAATTTAATGAATAGACTTTTATTCCACACAAAAATATATGTATTTTGAAAATTCAAATTATGGTGAGTAAATGTAATGTTGTATAAATGTACAATAAAGAAAATAAAAAAGTAGGTATATTAAAATTCATCCTCTGAATATTCTGCTGAATTATCTTCGTCTCCTAGATTGATAACGATAGGTTCCACAGTAACGTCAATTAAATTATCGAGTTCCCACATTTTCCCCTCTTCTTTTTGTACATGATGTATACATCTTTGCCAGTTATCTGCAATTACTCGATCCAAGGAATTTTTTAACAAAATTTTCATGTCACTTAATTTAACTGTCGTATTATTTCGCGCTACATCTCCTTTTACCTACGCCCATACTAATTTGATTGGGTTAAGTTCACAGTGATAAGGTGGTAACCGTAGTACCGTTATTTGGCGATTTGTTGTCATTTCATCGATAACATATTTTTTCTGATATTTATTAAGATTGACAAGTATCAAAAGTTCCTTTTTCACCATGTTTGTTTCAAAAGAAATGTTTTTTCCGGATAACCATCGGCTTTCCTCCAAGCAGTCGTAGGCGTCCGCTCGGTCTGCCATGATAGTCGATTTTCCAATCCCTGTCATTTTGGAACACTTTTCCACGATGTCGTCACCACTGTTGGTAGGATTTTGGTGTTTCAATGTATTAAATACATTTAATATAATAATCTTCTCATTCTGAGACAGCGCACATCTTTTCACGCGTTTAGCAGGTACGTAATCTGATAAGCTCGACATTTTACCCAAACACCCAAACAATATTATATCCACTGGCACAATAGTCACTAAACACAAGACGAATTTTACTCTACTGCACTAGCACGTCTTCATATATTCAGCTCTAAGACTGGATTGATTTGTCACAATACACTGGCTCCTGCCCTATGATGTATCCAGTAAAATATACTAATGTACACCCATTACCTGTTAGCATTAATGTTACCCGATAATTACCTGAAACGAAATATTACCACGCCCATGGCCGGTTCTTATCTCGGGGTTTTATTACTCTCTTTCATTTCCAAACAGACTATAGTGCTTGGTGTGATTTGATTGTCATTATTCTTTTTTGTATACCTATACAGGGTATCTCAATGCATCTACAGAACTAAGCTCAATAATAGTAGTGCCACTACGCGATATACTATGATTTATTTAGGGATGTTTTATTCTAAATTTACTGATGGACCTTTTCTATGGAAAATTATTGTAACCTCCCCATTTCAATTTCATTAATTTATGCCTCGTGACTTTCATAGACCATTAGATGAATGTAGGAATAAGACGTTTCACTATTACTGAATCATATTTATTCTTTTGCTAAACAAGAAATAAGAAACAATTGTTTTCTTTGTAGATTCCTGTATAGATTTGCCCAAATACGCTTCTTGCGGCTACATACGGTTCCGATCTTCTGAGTTTCGAGAAACAACCTACAATCTCTTAACAGACAATCAGAAGAGAGAGTTCCATGGGAAAGCCATAAGGTATATGGAAAGAGAAACGCGGAGATGTCGTGCGTGTGGCAGTGGATATTTCTCAAGATACTTGGGCACAGGAAGGCTTGACGATGTAAATTTACTTTCATACAATTGCACCATTGCACCTTTTGGTTGGGAATATAATAGCTAGCTTATAAAGTCAATTATAATATATTAAGTATTGCACGCAAGATTTTCAAGCATTTACATTTTTTTGTACCCAATCCACTCATGTACCTAATGAAAATTGTACAACAAACTTCCAAATAATAACAGTATCCAACTGAAAAACGTTTGTCATTTTAGGAATGAAAAAAATACAAATTCTAATAGTTTTAAAAGCCATTTTCTATAACACCAAAATATGTCAATTGGAAGCAAATTTCACACCCCAAACATAATCAAAATCGATAAACACGTACCAAAATTTAGAGGAACCCATTTCCTCCGACAGCTGATCGTAGATATCGTAGTTCTTCGTGCAAGAGTTCTAGCTTACACCATTTTGAGTGCAGCTTTAGATTAGAGCTTCATAATGTCTTGCCGTATTATCTCATTTTGTTAATCTTCTTTCCGTCTCTACCCTTTAGTTCACCATTTAGGTCAGAACATGTGAATCTGACTACTTGATTCTTATTAAAGGGACTGAGGTATACTACTAGAACCAAGATGAAAAAATATTCCGTGGTTAGCCAAGAGACGTTAGACATTCAGGCAGAAAAGTTATCCATAGGAAGACTATCGAATTTGTCGAATACTAAATCCCACATAAACGGCTCCAAGATCAGAGATACCTATCTCAGCACCAGCGGCAGTACCTCGGGAACGGGAAGCCTCAATTCAAATGTGACAAGTAAGTACCTGTTTTAAACAAATATTTTTTTAGGAAAAATAGAAAATTAATAATCAGCTTCCAAAGCCTTTAGTCACCAGATATTGCCACTACTCTGATGTTTTCTGATTCTAAAATTAGTTTACGTCATTGCTATATCATTACAAATATATTTTTGAACTCTACATTTAAAACTATTACTATTTTCAGATATATATGAATATTCTGGTTTAGGATTCTCAACAGTACGAAAACTGAAGAATAATTACAATTTAGTGAAGTCCTTTTCTTCTTATGATTATTCTCAATGCACTTGCCTCCAGATACTAAGCACCATGTATTCGCAGTTGATAGAACATTGTAAAGGAGCAGGTAGTCTTTCAAAATATTTAGTGCGGAATAATTATTTCTTTTATAAATATCCTATTTCCTATATGATTAGGGTAAAACCCCCAAATACTTTCGGATAGATCCGATTTTTATGAAGATTTGGAATTAAGCTTGTTTCACCATGTAGATGAAAAGTTATATCTGCTTGATATGAGCTTCTTATTTTTAGGGGATGAAAATCACTCATTATGCTAAAAAACTGAATAAATATAAATATAGGTTTTATATAGACTTAAATCATATTTTAATATACAGCGTGTCCCACTAGTGCGGGAAAGTCCAATATCTATGTTAAAATGAGGAATATATGAATTTTTCTTTTTACTGTGTTGCCCCATTTCTCGGAATGTACAAATTAAAAATATATTCAACTATACAGGGTGTTCCACTTTTCCTGGCCAGACACCAACTTAGGTTTTTTAAATGGAAACACACATTTTTTTTATTTTTTTCGGATTCTACATCAAAAGTAAAGGGTACTTTGTGTAGAATAGTTCTATTCAAATATTCACAGTTTTTGAGATATCTCGCTTGAAAGGTTTTTCTAGTCGATATTGGCTGCTTACATTTTCTGATACTGACAGGTTATACTAATAGCTACTAAGCCCATTTTTTTATCAGATGTTTAGT